GAACACAACTAATATTACAAATAGTATGGTTTGTAAATGCTAAAGCTAGTGACAGTGGCGGACCGCAACCAACATTACAGAACTCTTCGTATTAGTGACTGGCAGAAATTAGCTTACTTTTGGAAATAATATAAAAAATATTCTACAGAGAAAGGAATAACAAATTTCAAAATAGATACTTGAAAGTTTTACTACCCACTCAAACCATATTTTAACTTTATTACAATTTCATAATTTAAGTTCTAAAACAGAAAAATGACTTACTTACCCAGAATAAAGACTTACGTATAAATAACAGTGGCAAGATATATTTTATTTGGAAAAGTTCTAGTCACTAGAACTTTGAATTTCTATCCCCATTTTCCTCATTCACATTTATAATAATTGGTAAAATGTCAGCTTGGTTTAGATATTTTTTTCATTCCCACCATCTCTGAATTTCATTTTCAGTATGTGATATACATTTTGACCAAATTACGGCTGTAACAGTGTCTGAAGCTTCTCGCCATAAATTGATACAGCGCTCTACAGTTCTGCCATCTCGATCCATATGTTTGTTGTAATAGGACTTTATTATGCCCCAAAAATTTTCAATAGGGTTAGAAATGCAATGATAGGGCGGCAATCGTAATACTATTCGGATAATGCATCAACAACATATCTTATAGGCGGTGTGTATTCCTGTACTTCCTTAAGTAGTTGTGCTTTGAACATGTCAGGACTAAAATCAATTTAATTAATGCTCAACCATTTTTAATATCCTCCTTTTTGGATGCTGTTGTTGGTGCCTTATTCTCAATAGTACTATGGTATGGTGCATTGTGCATAATTATAACCGAGGGCCTTTTCAAATTCGTCAATAATTGCTTTTCAAACCACTGCAAAATGTTGTCTCTATTAATTTCCCCATGATAGTCTCCATGATTTAATGATGATGAAAATACTAATTAGAAATAGCTTGCCATTATTTTCTAAACATCAATATGGTTTTCAGGATTCAAAACATCACGTAACATTTGTGTAATCATACTAAATGCTTCCAATACAAATTCTCGTAACTGCTGATTAGTTTCAAAACTATACTGATAAACTTGGTTTTTAGTAAAACGGGAAATTCGATCTTCCCAGGTTTTCCAAACTTTCCCTATGTACCTTAAGAACATTCGAACATGCACAAATAAAACATAAGTCACTATTCAAGTGTAATTCTCAATAATAAGCAATGAAAAATATGCCCCTAACCCTATTTCCCGACAAAACAACGTAAGTCTATAACATATAACAGTCTTTCGATCGTTTTCCATTATTATTAATAAGCTGTAATGGATACTAGAAATTTCAATCTTTCGGAACTCGAATACTATATTGAGCCCAAAAAGTACTAACTGGTTTTTTGTCGCTGATACAATTTGTATTGTCTAACGAAAAATTCAAAATGTGGGACTCGTAAAGTCTTTGCAATGACATATTCATATTTTTCCACTACTTATAGTCCTAGAATGTTTGCCCATCCTATGTCCATTTAAACATACATATTTTACTAATTTTAATTATTTCATTATTAGAATAAGTCTATCGCTTCGCTCCGAACGCCCTGTATATGATATTCAAAAATACAGATTCGTTGTGTAGTAAAAATGTACGTACATGTATAAAAAACGGCGTAAACAGTACGACTCTAGCCAAACGGTAGGGAGAGTAGGAGATGCGAGGGGAAAGGAGGGGTGATTCTGCGGCAAGGTACTGCGCGGCTTCAGTTCTCGGGGTAGCGCGTCGGCGGTAGGTCAGTGCTATGAAGTCGCGTAACGCCTCGCGTTTTTTGTGCCGTTCTTAAAGTGTTTTATATCTGAGGCAACGTGTGATGGTAAGTACGTTTTTACTTGCTTAGGGAGTTTGTAGTACTTTGTGCATATATTGTTTTTTTGCATAAACAGTGTGCAACTTAACCTTCCGTTAGGCGCGTGGATACGTGTGACGTCGTTAGGCGCGTGGGGAACAGGTGTCAACCATTTTTTAGGTGCCGAATTTTTGCAAAAAAAATTAAATAGACAACAATGAAAAATAAATACATACAGGTCAGATTCACTAATTTTTATTGATTAAATAGAGAAAGAACATGGACGATGGTGCCACAATACCATGCGAATCAAATCCAATTAGCGCAGGTGTAGGCGCATTCCTAAACTAAAGTACCAGGCACAACGCATATGGATAACCCGGTTAATTTTAAGGAAAATTTGTATAGTCACAGTTCATGTTGTGCTATTTAGAAACTTGTGAAAGTTTCATAGCTTATTGAGGTATTTGGGAAAAAGTAAGAATTGGCGTTTTTATTCTTTTATTTTGTTTTAAGAAAAGTCAAAAACAAATGGAACTTTTTAGGCACTAAATGATGCTGTTTTTAAATTTTGTGCCCGACATTTCACTTTTGGAAATCACCATCAACTTTATTTTTTTATCTGGCCCGAACAAAAAATACACCCATCTGATAATCTTTTTCTAGGAATTCAACGATGTAGCAGATGTTACATTGGTTTTCTGAAGTTATGAAGAGAAATGTGTTTTTTCTATTTCAATGTAGGATTATGTGATTACTGATAGATGCATATTACATAATGATACGATATGGTAAAATTTTATAAAATTTAGCTTAGTCTAGTAATATTCAGAATAACGAATACATTTTTAATATTATTTTTATTTTATTCACAATAGGTGTTCAAATACAGGTTCCAGTAAAAATTATGACAAAAAAATAGGGCCTATAGACACATGGTAGATCTACACCATACCAAAAACTGACCTTAATAAAAGTTTCAGTGTTTGTGAGTTATTAATTTTTTTGTCTTTTTCGAAAAATGTCCTCTTTTAATCTATCTTTTGTGCCAAGACATAGTTTGGTTTTTTGCAAAATATTCTCAGATAGTTGGTCTGCCATTTGAAATATAATTTTCGATAAATACAAGTAAGTAAACTTGAAAAACTAATTTCTTTTTCGTAATTTTTATTTTGGTATTCAACAATGAAATTACGTATATGTACTAGACTGCTACTGCAAAGTACTGCGATAAATTACCTGCTTAATCAGCAACAAAAGGTGGATCAAACAAGGACATTTCTCGAAAAAGACAAAAAATTGATCTCAAAAACAGTGAAACTTTTTCTAGGGTCATTTTTTGATAGGTTGTAGATCTGTCTTTCGCCTATCTTTCCGATTTTTTTTTGTCGTACTATTGTACGGTATATGTATATGTGGTATATGTTGCCATTATTTTCCAAACATAAATACGATCTTCTAATAGTAGGATTCAAGACATCACGTACCATTTCTGTTGTAACCATAGTAAATGCTGATAAACAAACAAAAAAGTCCAGAGTTAATCCGGCGAACGCGCTGACCAGGACACTTCACTGGAGGTTCTAGTCCATTTTCCGGGAAACGGCTGATAAAGATATTCTCGAACTTGTCTAGAGTTATATGCAGGACCACCGTCTAGTTGAAACCAACAGCTATTAAAGATAAATTATCCACGCAGTCTTCTAGATATCTAGATCATGTTGCAACAATTGCAGGCACCGTTCTGCAGTTAATGAAATGTGGTAAATAGATGGAAATAATATTTTGGTCCCTAGAATTCCACACCACATATCAAACCCAAAATATTCTTGATGTCTATACTTTTTTAGCACGCAGATTTTCTTAAGCTCAGTAATGGGTGTTGCTGCGATTAAAGATACCATTAGTTACCCTACTCTGGTCGGGCCATATTATTTATGTATATATATATACAGGGTGGCGCATCGAAAACGAAACAGACGCATTTACTGGCAGCTCAGTTTTTTTTGGTAAAACGCTCAGACCCGTAGATTTTGTTTTCGAGGGGGACACAAGTTTGGCAAAAAATCAGGTTAACACGTGCAGCCCCCTGGGCGGGAGTGACACCAACCCTAAAATCTTAAATGGAAAGGGGGGTCGAGTGATACCTTATTTTAAAGGTCTTTCAATTCCCTTTATAATGATCTAAAATACATGAGCTTCAGTTCAGTAGTTTTGTAGATTTATTGATTTAAAGTTTAAAGTAGACTTTAATAGGTACATCAGATTAGTTTATACTACTTTTAGAAGAAATTTGACTAAAAGAATTTACTTAATAAGTAAATGTTTTTCTTCACTACGCCCATGGTTTGTTTATCATTTTGTTGTTGAAAATAGCTATTGGAGCGTTTTTTTGTGGCAAAAAAGTTATTTCTTGAAGAAAGATGAGGAAATATCTCATACTTATTTTAAATAGGAATTTAGTACATAGTTTGCGATTGATTTGACCAAACTTTGGTGCTAAAATAACTTGTAACGCTTTATTACATAAATTAACCATGGTATATTCCACAGCAGAAAGAGTTGAAATTATCGAAATATTTTTCGGAAATAATCAGTGCGCTAATAGAACAGCAGAAATAATTAATGAGCGACATGAGAACAGTAACGTGCATCGAAAATATGTTCTAAAACTTGCAGCTAAATTTCGGGAAACTGGGTCAGTCCCCAATAAAAAACGCAACATTGAAAATCATATAAGGAACGAAGCAATAGCAGTGGGGGTTTTAGGGCAAGTTTATGTAGATCTTACGTTAAGTACCCGCAAATTGGAGACTGTGTGTGGTGTTAGTCGCCGCACTGTCCAACGGATTCTAAAGTTTTCATCCGTATAAAATTCACCTGGTACAAGAACTTAATGAAGACGATTTTGATCGGCGATTACAATTTTGTGAAGATATGAGTGAACGAATTATAAACGACGAACATTTTCTATTCAACACTTGCTTTTCCGACGAATGTTCCTTTTTCTCAACCCCTTATTGCATGATTTTTTTATTTTCAATGGAAAAAATATATGAGGTAGATCAGTCTGCACAAGTTAGATGAAAAATAATTAAAAAAATATTTATTAAGTTTTTATTGAAAAATTTACAAAAAAGGGGTATGTATCATATATGGGACTCTATGCACTAACAACCAGTCTTATGTAGTTACTCGGTGTGAAATCTAGGTAACAATTTCTATCTTTATTTAGGCAGAGCGGTAGTTGACATTTTACACAATAAATATATGATTGGTATTTGCAGTCTGGATGTTTGCATCGATTTCTTTCATTTTCTCTCCATTCCGGCAAATGATCTATTCCGTCCTTTCTTACTTCAATTTGAGGAATTTCAGCCGCAGGTCCACGTTTAGTCTTTTCCAAATAAGCATGTTCAAGATTGGCGCTAGGTCGTCCACGTTTTCTACTCAATACAGATTTTCCACTGATACATAAAGCATCCGCAATAGCTACCTTAAAATCTGCAAGTGGCATATAAAACTCGTTCTGCGTCCTCCATAAAAGCCAACTATTCACAACGCACATATCTATAAAATGAAAGAAAATGCGGAGATACCATTTCTTGGATCTAATTTTGATGCGATAATAACCAAGCATAGAATCCAATAGGTCTACGCCTCCCATGTATTCATTATATTTTAGGATTGTTTGCGGACATTGCACATCTTTGTAGCATTTCTCGCTTCCAAAAAACCTTTGCTTACTTCCAATTGGTTGCGAGCCGACATAAGATGACAGAGTTGTGACAATTTTGTTGTCATACCAGCAAACAGTACTTAATTTCACATCATCTTTGATAGCAGTTTTTTCTTGCCAAGATCCTCTTCCAAGTTTCTTGAATTCCTTTTCCGATAGCATTTTACAACCTGGAATTCGATTCAAGCGCGCACTACCAAGAGGAAGAATGCCATTTTTGCTCAAGTAAACCACAAGTGGGACACTGGTGAACCAATTATCGAAAAATATTTTATGGTTCATATGCTTAGGGACTCTTTGGGCAAGTTTTAGCACCACATTACTGCTTGTTCCTAAATCAGGAACATCAACAGGAACTACGTTGCTCTGAGATCCAGCAAAAATGTCGAAGCTGTAACTAAAGCCGGAGATTCCACTCAAAACAAATACTTTATAGCCCCACTTGTGTGGCTTTTTCGGATTGTATTGTTTTATTGTTGATCTGGCTTTAGTTGGAATAATTTGTTCGTCTACCGCAACGTTCTCTTCAACTGGAATTTTATTTAGTCTTTCTTGTAAACTGTCTAGAAAAGGTCTTATTTTGAATAATTTATCATGTCCAGGTGTACCACGAGGTATGAAATTATCGTTATTGTTGAAATGAATAAATCTTTTGATTTCTTCCCACCTGTTACATGTCATAACTGCTGATACCTTATGATGACCTATATGTGGCGACCAATAGTTTCTAGCTTGGGGTAGTTGTATAATAGACATATATAAACATATGCCAATAAACCGCTCTAATTCATCATCTGTGAGGTTCAAAGGACGGTTTATACGCTTTTGTGAGCAATATAAATTTGATTCGATAGTTATTGCTGATATGATTTCCTTAGTCAAGAAGAACTTGAAGAATTGTAATGGCGTTTCTAAGTCAGTAACTTCTGGAGGCATATTCATATTGCCTGTAAATTCTAGATCCTTTGGATCTTTCACGAGATTTCCAGTTCTCCAGGCGCTTGGATTCATCTTCTCTGCAATTTCGTGTAGAGTCATATTTTCACTATCGTCAGATTCTACATCTGTTTCAGAAATGACTGTCTCATCATAATCTCCTTCAGGCTCACTGTTGTCGTCGCTGTCAAATGCTAATATATTATCATTAATTATTGGATTATTTGTGTCTTCATCGTCTGACAAATCGGGATCATCACTTTCATTGTTTTCCGGTACATTCGTAACATATTTACTGCTTCCATAAAATATTTTTGGATCCATCTGGAATCAAGATGACTCTTATCACTCGTTATAATCGCATGATGTCCCATATATGAATCAAAACAATTTTTGTATGTAACCTCTGCAAAAATTGAAATTATTGCCTAAACTTACCTTGAAACGCACAAGTAACAAATAAACTGTGGACAGCTATTTTTTTCTATCACCAAAACCTACGTTTCACCCAACAAAAATGCTTCATAAAATCGGAGATGTCGACTGTACCACGAAAAGTGCGAGTGTAAACTTGCAAACCGCTCCAAGGTCATATTTTTTGTCGGAGGAGCGTCGGCATTATTTTAACGTGGTTATTCCTCGGTCCCAAATATGCGACACTATGCAGTTATTCGCTCTTTAAATTCTAGAGCTTCAAAAAAATATTAATATTGGTATGTATCATATATGACTCAGGATGCAATAAGGGGTTAAATGGCATAGTAAATCGTCATAACTGCCGATATTGGTCCGTTTCTAATCCCAGAATTTATCATGAGGTTCATACACAGCAGCCCCAAAAATTAAATGTTTGGGCTGATTTTTTTGGCGATCATTTAGTTGGTCCTTTTTTCTTACCTAGAAATTTTACCGGTGAAATGTATTTGGAATTGCTGTAAGACTCCATAGATCCTGCATTAACAGCCATAATTGGAAATCAAAATGATCGGCGGTACATTGCGAATAGGTTGATGTTCCAACAGGATGGTGCCCCACCACATTACGCATTACGTGTTCGACAATATTTAGATCAGACGTTTCCAGATCGATGGATTGGTAGAAGAGGTGCCATTGAATTGTCGCCAAGATCGCCAGATTTATCACCTTTGGATTTCTTTATGTGGGGTCATTTAAAAAGCAAAATCTATGCTACTCAGTCAACATTATTAGAAGACATGCGACAAAGAATTGTGAATGAGTGCCTTCAAATTACTCCTCAAATATTGCAAAATGTGCGGCAACATTTTGAGCAAAATCTTTATTATTGCATGGAGAGTCATAGTGGCCATTTTCAACATTTACTTGCCTAACGGGTCAGTTTATTCTTCATTTTTAAATTACTTTGCTGCCAAATGTATTGATCTCCACTAATGATGATGTTTTAGTTTTATTTAAGCTTTAAATCAATAAAACTTCAAAACTACTGAACTGAAGTACATTAATTTTATATCATTATAAAGGGTATCAATCGACCCCCCTTTCCATTTAAGATTTTGGGGGTGGTGTCACCCCGCTTAGGGGGCTGCACGTGCTGACGTGATTTTTTGACAAACTTGTGTCCCCCTCGAAAACAAAAACCCTGCTAGTTTTCAATTAAATGAAAACTCGGTTGTCTCAACCAACTGTTAATACTAGCTAAGGGGAAAAATATTAGTTAGAAGTTCTTTGATTTTTTGAAAAAACTTAAAAGAGGCAAAATCTCGAAAACTAGAAAACTTTTACTAAGGTCATGTTGATTTTATTTGATTGATCTGAAGCCAGTTTACCGCCGGTGTCACTCTGGCGTGTTATTTCTGGGACACCCTGTATATTGTTTTTTGAATAAATAGTGTGCAACTTAATGACAAGCCGTAATTACAAGCGCGCGTTCCTAAATTAAAGTACCAGGCACAAAGCTTATGGACAACCGGCTTAATTAAAAATTAAAAAAATATGTATAGTGATAGTTCATGTTGTGCCGTTGAGAAACTTGCAAACATTGTATGGTTTGCTGAGGTATTTAGGAAAAACCAGAATTTAGCCAAATCGTTTTTATTTTTCTCTGACTTTATTTTAAGGAATATAATTAAACTAATGGAACTTTTTAGGCACTACAGGATGGTAATTTTAAATTTGTTGCCCGATGTTTCGTTTTTGAGAGACCATCATCAACTCTATTTTTTATGTGGTCCGAAAAATAAGTACACCCTGTATCTGATATTAACGATGTATCGCATGTTATTTTTTTTCTTAGTTATTAATAAAAATGTGATTTTTTTATTTTATTTAAGTAGGCGATACAAGCAGGTGCTTGATGTAAGATTATGTGATTGCTGGTAGATGCGATATAATGGGGTCAGATTTTATAAAATGATCCTTAATCTAGTGATATACAGAATAACGAATACGTTTTAACATTATTTTTATTTTATTTACAGCAGGTGTTCAAATAGCTTGCCATTATTTTCTAAACATTAATATATTCGAACTGTGGCAAATAAATGGACCTAATATTTTGGTCCCTAGAATTCCACACCACACATTAAACCCAAACGTTCTTCATGTCTGGATACTTTAGCCAGCAGATTTTCTACAGCCCAGTAATGATTATTGCGGCGATTAAAGTTACCATTATTAGTAACCATACTCTCGTCGAACCAGATTATTTTTGAAGAGAAATTAAAATCTTCACGCGTTCGGGTGTACCACTCAAAAATACTGCCCCGTTCGCTATCCCCTGGTCTAAGTCATTGGCAAATCTGAATTCTGATATATGTTATAACGAAAAATAAATTGGGCTGTCGATTTGGTGGAGTTCTGCTTGTAAAAAACTGTTCTGAGTTTCCTCTTAGAATTCCTTTTTTTAGTTCAAATTTCGGATCAACTCTAAGGAAATGGACATACTTGGCTGCCTTCTTTCGGGAAATTTATCAAGATACATTTCTGCAATACTTTTAATATTTTTGTAGCACAAAATGTAGCACGTCAGCATGTCAAATTTTTCGTCATTGATAAAATGACCGCATGGCATCTTCGACGAAACTAAAGCAATATTAACAATACACAATAATAACAATACTCGGTGACAGGTATTTACGTCAAGTCAAACATTTGTTTGCAACGCCTGCTTAAAAAAAGTAAAACAAAAATAAAAAAAAGCATTTTATCCTTATAACCAAGAAAATAAATGTAATATGTAATCATTAGATTCGAATAAAATGCTAAATACAGGGTGTACTTTTTTACGGACCATATAAAAAATAGAGATGATCTCTCAAAAACGAACCGTTGGGCACAAAATTTAAAAACATTATGTAGAGCTTAGAAAGTGCCAACGGAAAAGTTTTATTAGTTTTTTATATATCAACTTCAACTTTTTAATAATTTAATAGGAATCTTATCTTGGACACACTGTATATTGTAATAGTAATATTTATTTACTCTAAAATACAGGGAACATGAAACGAGTAAATAAATATAACTTGTCCATAGAAGAACAGTGCCTGTGCATGGATCATATGTATGTTGAATTGTAATAGATGAAAAAAAGAAAGAATAGAGAAAAAACTTGTTCTCTGCATTACCAGATACATGAGACTGGTAGAGTGCATTTCATTTCGACGAAGGAAGAAATTTGTCTTGATGCCACAAGGCATAAAACAGGCTAACTAGATGTCGTTAGAAGTCTAAAAGTCAGTAAATATTGAGATTTCAAAAACCGGTACAATATACTTGACTTTTTCCTATATTTTTCAAACATTTTGATTCAATTTCTACATTTCTGAAAAAATATCTGATTCAAAAATATGTTTGTTTCAGGTCCAGTGTCCAGTTGAGATGGAAAACTTAGCAGAACTAGGTGGGTTTTGTTTTCAGTTGTATAGACTAAACTTTTTTAGAGCAAAATGTAAAAATAACAATCAGCAAGAAATGCAGGGTGCTTCAAAGAATCGGAGTGATGTATTTCATATGTTTCAAACTCCAAACCGTTAATTTTTCGTTTATTTTGATAGCTTTAGTTTGAGAGGCAATTTCAAAATATTTTTGCATTTGTTTTCAGGTCCAGTTATAGCTGAAGGTGCAACAGAACGGCAAACTAGGTAAGCATTTTTATTTGGAAAACTTATGTTTCAAATGAATTAATAGTGATAAATAATTTTTTGAAGTATACAGAAATTTAGACAAAGAAAAGAGGACAAAACGCTTGAGTTTTCCAATTTTTTCTGTAAAAAACATGTTAAAAATATCGCAGTGATTGTTGAGATCTAAATAAAAACAATTGGAAATACGGTAGTGAACAGGTTGTGAAATATGAATTTTTCTATGAAAAGTCAAAGATTTTCTTTCAAGACAATATATTAGATAGCTTATTTTTAACGGATTATGTGATAAAAGATTTTAAAGGTTATAATCTTGGTTTCATCAATAATTCACAAAATAATGCTTGAAGTTGAACAAAAGATGTTTTGGGAATTCATTATATCAGCGAATAAAGATGATTATTATTGTTACTATTATTTTCAGGATCGGTTTCAGCTTTCTTATTCCCTTGTATTTTAAATGCAGTGCCCTGTAATTGATATTCTGAATGAATTATATTTCGCCGCAAAAGGAGCAACACACATCTTATAAGTAAGGTTGTGCATCTTATTTAGCATTTTCGGTATATTCTTAGTGACTCAAGTGGTGTTATACAAAACATTAGTTCGGCTTTAGGGGAACGGCATTTAGTTTGCAAATGCCCTGAATTTGAATCCCTAGAAAAATTCAAGATTATAATGAAAATTTAGAAAGACCTATATACAGGTCGGAACTCCACAATAGTTTCAGATTAGTTACGTTAACGTGCTTTCACCACAACCACGTTTTTGCACGTTTTTAACTTCAAGCTGGTGTGGAATGTAAGATTTAGTGCAATCGCACATTTAATTCGTAGGCTAATCATATTAGACAAAAATACCTCTAGTCTGGTTTTATTGATGCAAGTTTTTCAAGGGGATATTTAAAACATAAACTCATAGAATGGGTACAGCAATTTTTGTGAGAAAACTATTTATTCGACAAAGAATGAGAAAACGTGTTTTTTGGGATTCAATCGAAAGTGTTGTTAGGAACTTAGAATTATAAGGTTTTTATGAGACCTACAAAATAAGATCACACCTAAAAAAAAACGACTAACAGTAAAAAAGTTATGTCCGAAAACCGAGGCAAAATGCAAGTTTTGACACTTGTTGCTAATGAGACGACAACTTCACGCAGCTACTTGAAATTCTTCAATTCCGTAGGCTTCATACTTCTAAACAACC